CCCCCCCCCCGCCACTCTTGACATTTCACTGTGCATTTTAGAAGAGAGCCTTTTTCTAAAGGGATCTGTTAAAAGTTTTAACTTTTATACCTATCTGAGCGAATTACAGACAACCTACCATTTTATTCTGCTTGGAGCGCCCCCAGGGCCCTCGTACAAACGACAGCTCTTACTTTTAAATGCAATCTCTTTTCTACATACATTATTTTCTTAATTGTTAGCTATTTATAGAAAGCTTCGATAGAACTCTTTCAACTGTATAACTATTTACTATTCAAATAAAATATTTTCAAAGTCAAAGTAAGGTGGACTTATTTCTGCATCACGTGGTTTCCTCAAGGATTTCAAATAGAGCTTCCAATGATTTCTTAAATGTGTGTCTATTGTTTATTAAGAAAACCCACCACCATCACTAGGATCGTGGATTTTTAGAGCTGAGACTGAGCTGCCAGATTCTACCCTTCTGGCACTTCAAGGGTATAGGCTCAAAACAGCTAAACTGGAGCCAAAGGCTTGTTAGGGGTCCTTAGGAATGTACTGGAAGGTGGGGGTTAGAAGGGAAGCTGTGCAGATCTTTTTCAGAGAAATTTAGATAAATGTCCACACAAAGCTATCCTTTTAACCAAGGGGATATAAGAATACCGCTTTAATTTAGCAGATCCTTCATTTCCTGACAGTTTGGGGCTCAGTGTAACTGTAATTCCTCAAGTAAAATGGGTAATTTCTGATCCTTAAGTAACAACTAGGAGAAAGTAGAAACGATTTTATGGTCAGATTTTCAAAATAAGGGAAGCAGACCAATTCTCATTTGGATGCAAAAGAAGTTAAGCAACTGGGTTTGGGGTAAGGGCTCAGAAATAATTTTCCAATCAGGTAGCAGTCCATTTTGGGGGAAAAAACTGGAACACCATCTGTTTGGGGTATTAAATTTAATAACGGTAATTACACTGTTTTCCGTTATGTGTCACAAAGCTCTTTGAAGAACGATCCTGACACTCACCAGTTAATATTTTGAGTTGTTTTCCTCTGCCTTTGGAACACTTGATCACGGAGCCGAGCTAAACATCGCAATTGTGCACGCCCTTCCCTTCCTGATGTGTGTTTGCTGCTTTTCTCCCGTGGCACACTAAGATCTAAGATTTGCCCAGCAAAGGGATTTTAGAAATCTGTACAGTACAAGCTGCATTTCCAAAACGTGTAGCTGGCGTGATGGTGGGAAGGGCAGTACGTGAGAAACTGGGAAGGAAAATGTGACGAAAGCGATCGTTTTCATATTTCGAACCTAAAGTTTTATGTGGGAAAGGGTTTACTAAAAGGCTCATCTGTCAGGACGGTGGAGTATTCCTCCCTTTGTGAGGGTCTTGAAATAGACTCAATAACAATGAAGGAGCAGCCAGCACAGGTAAGCTGCCTCCAGGAAAAACTGCCCCTCCTCTTATTATTTTTATTATTTACCAGTTTGGAAAATACAAGAAGACAGAAGCTTGGTGCAGCACAACATGAAAGCATAGGGACAAAGCTGTGTTTATAACATCCTGAAAAGTTGGAATGAAACAAAGAAAAATTCAGATTTGTGCCCTGATGATTGCTCCCTCTAAGCAATAATGTGAGACTTTTAAAAGGTTCTCTCTGAATTACACCTCACAATAAAGGATCCTGCATCCTGAGGGTCAGCGTATGCTCTATGCCAATAAAAAGTATCCTTAAAAACCTGGTGGTTGGCCTGCAGGGATGTCGTCTTGGCATCTATGTTTGGCTTAACTTTTTCTTGTCCAGAATCATAAATCATAAACCCTTCATCATGGTCAATAAGATTTGGTTGTTTGCAAATGTGCTCTTTCATCCCCTGTGGAAATTTATTTCGATTGACCAAATATACCTTTTCTCAGAAAGAAGCCAAAATTTCATTTATGTGAGATACTAAGTGAAATCATATAGTGAAGGGAGCACATTGAAGGTGACTAAAAAGTATAGAAGAAATAGAAAACCTTGGTCAATTTGTTTCACAGTAATGCAATGTGAGTCAGCAGAATATTCCACAGGAAAGAAATCAGATTCTCTCTCTCTTTTTTTCTCCCTCCCTGGATAGTAAGTTCCCAAGAGCTCCTGTTATAAAATATCAAGTGGAAATGCACTCACCTTCACAAGTGTGCAAAGGATGCGGAGGACATTCCCCTGCGTCTGAGGCTGCTCCTAACTTGGATGCCCACGGGTGGAAACCGGCCACACGGGGACGTTTTGCACAGAGTTCAGCCTGGGTAAGGGGGGCGGGGTCCGAGGCCTAACCTGGGGGGGCGCTGTTCCTTCCGTGTAGCACCATCACTACAGGTGATCCCTGGGCCCTTTGGCTTCATTCTGGGAGCCCAGGTCACACGGTGGAGGCAGCCGCACCAGGGTGACTCGTGACCACGTGGAGCAAGGCCCAACCTGAACAGCTATGCATGATGACAGCGTCGTGGTGCAGAGCAGAAGGCTGGAGGCTGGCTGCACTCTGGCCCCTCGGTAGCACATGTGGGTATACTGGGGTGCCCTGCAGAGATCTCGGTGCACAAGGTTGGGCCAGGCAATGCCAGTCACCGGGCTCCTCTTGCCCAGCGTGTCTGCGCCCAGAGGCCGCCGGCGAAGGGCCCGGTCCTCACGTGCCACCATTGCTCTGCAGGAGGCTCCCTGGGGCAGCCGTCCCTTCCACCAGCCACCCCTCCATCTCCTGGACTTCATTCCACAGCCATCCACAACGTCTCCAAGACTAAGGAAGCAGAAGAATCTCTTAACAGTCCTATATGACATCATAGGAATTCTTCACCCACCAAATATCTTGTGGAAGGGAAAGGTCTAAAAGCAGCTTGGCCAACTCCAGGGCTTCCTGCAGGCCTGTCTCCTCATCTCTAAACCAGAGGGAATGGGCTTCCGGGAGACACGGTGAGACACTGGAGAGGACTTCCTGGACTGTGAGAGGAAAGGCAGTCGGGACGCCAAAGGGAGCAGGTAGGAGAAAAGCTCCATCCGGGGAGTGTGTCCTATGGTGTTTAGGATTAGTTATAAACCCACTGGCCTGGGGCAGGCAGGCTTTGAGCAGAACTTGCTATTGTTTTGCAGAAGGGATGTTTTGGTCTTGTGGAGAAGTTTTCTGGCAAATAGACCCTAGTGTATGGGGTCAGGTTGTCATCCACACATACTGTGTGTGTGCCACCCATGTAGCCTGTTACAGGGCCAGGTTAAGTTACAGTCTTTTGGTGGCTAGGCTAGAGAAAGTGGTGTGTTTGGCAGTTAAAAGCCTATGCTGTGGGATTTAGAAAAGATCAAGCAAGGGACTGACTTGTAGAGAGAGACCCACAAGGGTAGCGAAACACGCCAGAGTGAGAGGATCAACTGAACAGCACCTAGCGAAACACGCCAGAGTGAGAGGATCAACTGAACAGCACCTAGCAAGGATGTTGGTTCCATTGGACTGCCGAGGTGGGACCAAGGCATGGAGTACAATATGGCGGTCCAGAGACACTTAGGATTCTAATCCTAAATCCTGGAAACATCCAAGTCATGTTTTGGCAATATAACCTGAAAGTAAGAGCCTGAGAATCCCATTGAGTGGAGAAAGAAGCAGCCTAATCATCTTCAAGTTATACATATCTTATATGGTGAAGCTTAGTGTGTCTTTATGACCAACCTGCAGCATCAAACAACCCATACTCATGGGGAAAGGCTGGGATATGCATCACTCCTGCATTGTAATATGGCGACCGGCTCTATCAGGCCCGTCAGCATCACAGAGAGCAGTTCGAATGTGAAGCCTGGTCACAGGACTCACAAGAATGTCCCCACCAAGTGGCCCTAGGAGAAAGAAGTGGTCCCAGACACCCAGATGAGAAGGCCACCCTCTGAAGGGCTGCTCCTCGTCCGGGCACTTTCTCCCATCCCCCCAGCCCCTCAGTCGACCAAGGCTCCCTGGCGAGGCCAGGGACCTTGAGTCCACAGGAGGGAGGGGCCAGAGAAGAGAGCACCCACCTGCCCAAGGATTTCCAGGGAGAGGGAAATCTTTTTTCACCAGGAGCACTAGGGAGCTCCTGAGGTTGCTAAGGAAACCTAAATAATTTCCA